ATATATATATATATATATATATACATATATATCTTAATTTAATTCATTATAATCAAATTTCATCAGCATTTCTCAATTATCTCAATTTCTAGATTCTTAAACAAATAAAAAAGAAAATAGCTAACTATTTTGATTTTTCGATTATCTAAAATTTATAAATTTCTTATTATATGAAAAAATTACAGATTTCCACATTATATTTGGAAGTAATACAAAAAGTTTGACGGTGATTTAAACCTGAATAAAAAATTATTTCAATAAAAATAGACTTATTTCCAAAATTTCTTAATCCTTAAGCGGATTAAGAAGAAGTATAACTAATGATTTCGTTAATGGTTCTCAATTATCTTTAAAATTTTCAGGTATAAAAGAATTAGAAAAAAGTGTAAGACACGGCTAATGTACAATAGTTCGTCGAAATCAATACGTGGGTGGATTTATAACGAGTTACCTACCTGTTGGACGATTTCTTATATTTATTGCACTTAAAATAATTTTACTCATCCGGGGTATACGGTCACGCAAAGGCGAGCACAAGCCAACTACTACGGCTTAACGTGCAAATCACCCGTTAATCAACGGAACTTCGAACGCTCTTCCGAAGGCTAGTAGTAGTATACGTGAGTAAAGGTAAAGGTCTCCGCGTACCGAAATTCTAACATATAACATACCACACGCAAAAGCCAGAGATCAATTTCTTCTATGGTTCTTGTCGGGGACTTTAACGAATCTTACAACGCGGACGATAGTAGATTACTCTTCGATATGCTTCTCAATATGCTTCTTGTTGTATATAAAAGAACACAAAGAAATATAAGAAAACGAATATCAAGTTCATTCATACACAATATTCTATAATACACTAGTATAACACTCGTTTCTATTAATATAATAGATTAATCTAGGTATAATTTATTCATCATTTTTTCCTTAGAAAACCGAAATTAAAATTGCATTTATTTTGATAAAAGCAAGTGCAAAACGCGTGGTTCCAATGTGCTATTCAGAATTTTAAATCATTCAATCCTTAATACGATACAATCCCGGGATTATAGAGCTACCGTTTGAGTATCTCTTTAATTTTTGCTTCTTTATACGATACGAAAGAAATTATATTCATTGTCAAGGTTCCTCGTTCGCGTACTTGCACGGCAGTCAATACTTCGAACTTAACGCGGAACAGGAATCTCTATACAGTGCGTAGCGACGTGCGTAGTTGACAATTCCCTCCGGACTTGGAAAGACAGGTTCTCGAGGAGGAGACGCGTGTCAGTGGTCTTACTCACGAAAGATCGTTGACGCGGCGAGTCAGTTCCATTCTCCGTGATGACCGGGAAAATACAATGATCCGGATGTTGATGCTGCTGCGACGATTGCAGGAAGTGGTTGTGACGACGGGGATGATATTGGTGGCTGACCAGGGCCGTGCTGGCTGCAGCGGCAGTGGTGGATCGCGGATGATGTGGTGGTAGACGTTCGCCGCGCAAGCGCAAGCTCGCGGCACGGCGCAGAGCCGACGGCGATGGCCTCGGTATACGAGAGTCCAGCGGAGACGGCGGCGAGGTGGTAGCTGCTCATGGCATATTCTAGTTAATAATTGAATAGCGGAAGATGGGATCGTGATTGAGAGCGACTATAGAGAAGAATCTGTGCATCGCGTGCACTTTAAAGTTCAAAAAATTCAAGAGTAATCCCTAAAAATCGACTTTTAACAAATGTGATAAAATCATTTTTCGGTGATAAAACTGGAATTATATATATAAATTGTGTCTTCGAAATTTTCGTTTGATCTCTATATACATTATAATATATATATATATATATATTTACGATTAAAGTATAGCAATTTTTAATATTGTTTATATCACCGATTTTAACTAATATGGTGAAATATTAAATATTTAAGTTTATAATTTGTAGACAAAGATTTTATTTATTGTTATATCTTGAGTACATTTTTATTGATTGTAAATTCTTAAACGCAATTGTAGTTTAAATATAAACTCTTAAAGTTTTTAAATTCTAGAAAACCGATTTTTACTCGTTCCTACTTATATGTCTTACTTATATAATATTTAATTTATCGATAAATTTTTACACGCAATTATAGTTTAACCACGTGGAAATGTAAACTTTTCCGGGAAGTATGAGTCTAAATTTGAAGTTTTAAGAAATGATATACAAAAGTACAAGACAAATAATAAATAAATTACTTTTCATTATATTATAAGTAGGTATTATAGGTAGAACATATCTAAAAATATATTTTCATATAAGTTATGATAGTTAATAAAGAACGTGATAAAAAAAATAAAACAATAAAATCGCTTTACAAAAGTGCCATGTATGAAATCAGTAAACAAAAATAAAACGTTGAAAATAACGTTGACAATAGAGAGTAAACAAGTACTCGAAACAATATTACTTCTTTTGAATATTCTTTAAATTAAATAAAATACTAACGTAAAGCACATAAATTATAAACAATGCGTTCACACATTTGTCAAGCATAAAAATTTACATACATAGTGAAATAAAAAAAAGTATTTAGATTTTCTACCAGTTTCTCTTTCTCTCTCCCTTTTATTAAATAATATAGCTATATAAAAAAAATAATCTTTGATTATTTGGAGCAATGTAGTCTAATAATGGCGTTGATGGCTAATTAATACGAATGTGATTTTTACGGAGGATTTCATCCTACTTACTAGGGCTACCAGCTGATCCGGCGTCTGGCACGTGGGTAGAACTAGTATTAGTGGCAGTGACCTTATCGGTCGCGGTGATAACACACGTTGCTAGGATCGGCGTCACGGGGGGGGACGTCGAAATAACGGCGGTACCGTGAGTTGATTGACTCGTGTGCATCGGTTGCAGCGACTGCAGAAAAGATTCTTCGTTGCAACGAGCCATTCTGTCTAACCCGTTCATCTTGACGCCACGACGATTATCACCTGATGTGAGAAGAGAAACACACTTCTTTATTATGTCATTATCAAAGAATCAAAATTTAAAATTTTGAGATTTTTGAGATCTAACGAAAACTTTTATCAACGGATCTTGAACTGGAAAATCGTTATAATAAAATACGTGTAAATTGATAATTTATCTAACAATACGAAATCTTACTTCAAAGTCGAAATAATAAAGTATTTTTTTATTACATTAATATTTTAATTTATAATTTTTAAAATAATAAAATAAAATATGTTCATACTATATAAAATATGTTCATATATTCAGAGATGCTTGTAAATCCATGTATATATGTATACATAGATTAAGATTGAAATAATCTCAATAATAGATAGAAGTCTAATAGAAAATAAATAATGAATAAAACATCTTTTATTATAAATAGATAGAATCTAAAAATAGATTTTCATAATATAATATGAATTATGACAGTTAACAAACGAAGAGGAACATAATAATAATACAATGATAGAATAAACAATGATAGAATCGGTAGACGCTCTTATGTTGTACACGGTTAAATATTGTACAATATTAGTGCCGTTTCTAGATAATTCTATACAAAACTCTTAATATCGATCAAATTATGCAATGATTTACTTGTCACTATTGAGAATTTAATTTTAATAACGTCAATTTTATTACTACTAAAAATAAGATCTCTAAAAATCAATTGTCATAAATTGGCACCTTATTGCGCAATAGTACTCAGACAAACTATTGTAGTATTTTACAATTAAGTTGCATATCATATTTCAAAGAATTTTTTAATTAACTCCATATATTTTGCATAAATATTCACTACAACCTTCAGACAATCAATATTATTACACACAATATAATTACTGCAATAATATTGATCGTCTACAGGCCACTTAATGTACTTCAGTTTTTCAGTCGGATCTTGTAGAATGAAAAAATATTTATTCATATATCATCACGATGTTTTTCAAAATTTTGCCTAATCCTACGTAGTTTTATCTAATTCGTAACAAAACAATGTTAATAATACATAGCTGTGCTCATCTTAACAAAATTAATGCTTCCCGTCGCAATATAAATGATCCTTCAGCAAACCTAAAAGGATAGTATTAGGTGAGGTCGAGGACATATCGATTGGCACTACCGAGCGCTGAACTTAGGTCAGTTGTCTATCGAAACTATTCTCCCTGCTTTTCAGCACGATATTGTTTACGAATTTCGGATAAATTCTCGAATTCATTCCTTCCCGTATGAAATTTTATTTTATCTAAATATAGACCTAAAGAGACTTAAAAAAAAAATTAAAAACTTTAGAAAAATTCCTAATTGGATACCAAAAATTCTAGGAAATGCAAGGAATTATTTAATCTTTTTCTTTTTTTCCATTAGACGTTAAATTCATAGAGCTGCCAATCGCATTTTTCTACGCATAACAAGCAAAATAAGTTTTAGTAAGTCATAGATAATAAATAATGTATATTATGAATAATAAATTTATCGAGGAATTTATAATAAATGCAATAAAAATTGCGTAAGAAAACTCGAGACTCGGTTTTTACGGACAGCCGCAAGTGCCGTAATAGCAAGAGCTCGAAGTTATTCGCACAATTGTTGAGCGCATTAAGCGTGTCGTTAATTTCGCTTGCACTTCGTCCTTGCGGTAGCCACGGAAGCCGGATACGGAACTGTAATTCCACGGCGCGCCTTGGAATGAATTAGCAAAATTACATAAAAAGATTTCAAAAAGAATTATATAATACGTGTGAATCCCAAACCCATCTCAACTTTGCTCTTTCGATACATAAAAAGAGTTAAAGAAAAAAATATTCAAGAAATGTATATGAACGAATGTATGTAGTGATAAGAGATAAAAAATAATTTTCCTATAATTATTGTTAAAAACCTTCAATTAACAATAAATAGCTTACTGTTAGGTAATTTATTTTTTGAATTTGTTATTGGAAGTTGAATCATTTTATAAACTTCGATTCAGTAATTCATTCACATTTATTTGATTTGCTTTAAAAACCTCTAATTTGACTTATTCTGGAAGTTCTTCATTTTATTTTGCACGTCTCTACATCCATGGTTCTAGATTTTTTCGACTCACGAAGAAAAAAATTTTAACTCGCGCAATCTTCTTCTCAGGATTTCTGTAAAAAAAAAAAATACTGTAAAATATTTCAACCTAGGAACCTTGTTACGTAAATCGATCGTAATGCTCAACAATTTCGGCATCACCGAGCTTACGAAAGTTGAGAACGGAGATTAATTCTACTTCAAGTGGCCCGTAATGTAATCGAAAGGACAGTCGAAATGAAGTGAAAGGCGCGAAGGAAAACCGCGACCTTTATTGAAATGAAATAATCGATCGGGCCATGTTCTATTTCAAGGATATTTCTGCTGCAGCATTATGCAGCGTTTACTTTGGCCAACACGGCTACAATTTTACGTTAACAGAAGGCTATGATACTACATGGTGAACATAAAAACGTTTTTTATTTTTTTTTGCTATAAGTACACGTAATAAATGTTATAAATTTACTATCAAATCACTTTCTTCCGCAAACAGTTTTTCGATCCTTCCTCGCTTTTATCGCAGGAATCATAGTATAGAATACGCTTGCAGGAAGAGCCAGTTCTTTATTGGGAACATATTGATTTGTTCATTCAATAATGCAATTAGTTAATTTCGCATTACCTGACTAAAGTCAGATAATTATATAGTAATTGCCCATTTCCACGATCTGTTGCTCTTTACTAGCCTTTGATTGGAATATCAATATACATAATTTTAACACGATTATAATAATGAGACTTTATTACGAAAGAAAATATTGATTTAGCCATTCTACAATACAGTTAATTATAAAGTACTAAATTAATTACAATTAGGTAATTAGTTAGTTAATTTTTACATAGGATTGATATGGAAACTTATATATTTTAATAAAATAAGGCAGGATAAAATAGTAAGAGCTGAAAATAAAGAATAATAACTTATATTTTTATGCAACTCGATATTTCTACATAAATAATTTCTGTATATACTCGATATTTTTACGTATAAACTACAATTTGTACATTTTGTTCAGATTGTGAGGTACGTAAAGAAATACAGATTTTTTTTATACACAAACGATAGATCGATAGATCGATAAAGTGATAAATCCTTCAAAACACGGGTCGATAACATTTTTTCGCGTACACGAATACATTCGAGTAATCGAACAACGTAAAATATAAACGTCACATACGTTATATAACGCAAGACAATTATACGTAAACTATCACGTTAATGAACTGGGAAACGAACGTTTGTATAAATTAACATCGAGCGATATAAAGAGTCAGCACCAGTCAGCACTTAGATTGCGTATAAAAGAATATAATTTAACTATCTCTTAAGAAACTTGAGGATATTTTCTCTTTCGAAAAAGAACATCAATACCGTTAACGATGTTTTTCAATCGCTATTTTTGTCGTTAGTCCGTGATATCTCTAGATAAGACGTCACAGACTACGTTTTTCTTTTTTTCTTTTTTTTTTTTTAATTATATGCTCTTCCTGCGATCGAGAGAAATCCGAGTACTGGAAGGAAATGAAAATAATAGAGATGAGATTGGAAGGATAAATAAAAGATTGAAGGTATACAAAGAGAAAGCTGAAAAAAAATCTATTATCAAGTTATCGCGAATGTCGATTGTCAGCGCGATTTTTCTTCACGTACTAATATTTAAAGAACACTCGACACTTTCACCTCCTCACCTCCTTCTTTTTGACCAATTCGGAAAGACACTATGGGTAACAATATGAATCCGATCTGACAACTGAAGGAGGAATCGCGAATTCGCGAAGCTCACGCCGGGCACTCACCTCGGTGAAAAGTGCACCGGTATTGTGGGAGAGACACGTTCGATCATTCGCTTGTTCGTTTATTTCCCAAAGCTGTTCCAAGAGACGCGCAGCTGCGCGTCGCGATCTGTTTTCACGACTCGAGTAAATCAACAGATCACGTAAGAGAAAACACCTCGATGTACTTATCGTACGTCAACTTTCGCGCACGGTCGAATACTCACTGTCACCCCGGAAAGTCCGGATGGGCCACGTGGTTCCCCCAAAGAAGTCAAGACGAGATTCGCGACCGCGACTGTGCGAGATCGAGCAATGGGCAACCCCTCCTCTCTCTTCTCTTTTTCTCTCTCACACGCATACACACCCGCGCGCGCGCGCGCGCATTCCTCTTTCGAATCAGTGTAAAGCGGGGAGCACAGACTTTTGCATAACGCATAAACCATATACATAAAGAATTTGATTGGTCCATTGACTCATGCATAAGAAAATGGGCCAATGAAATTCCTTATGCACATGCTTTATGCGTTATGCAAAAGTCTGTGCTCCCCGCTTAAAGGCCGCAGCACACACTTTTGCATAAAGGCCATCACACGTACAAAAATTTTAGTCGTAATCGTAAGGTCTTAAGGCTGGAGTCACATGGAGCGGAAATTACAGCGGAACGGAACAGTGAATCCAATCAGAACTCTACAATCATTCCGCTGCTTTACTTTCTGCGATTGTGATTGGTCTCGCTGTTCCGTTCCGCTGTAGATTTCCGCTCAATGTGACTCCAGCCTAAGGAGCCTACAGACCAGAGCGGCGCAGCGGTGAAGCGGCGAGCGATAGCCAATGAGAGCCATGCTTTCTACGCAAAATCATGGCTCTCATTGGCTATCGCTCGCCGCTTCACCGCTGCGCCGCTCTGGTCTGTAGGCCCCTTTAAGCAAATCGACCAATCATATCAAGATTACGATTCACATTTTAATACGCTAGAGACCTAGGAAACAGAGATGCGTCATTGAAGGGTATGGCTTGATTGGCTGTCTAAAACACGTGATCAGAGAGCCATTTTAATTCACTATTGCATCTAATAGATATAGTTTTATAACGTATGTATGTACATATATATAGAGAGAAAAATTTAGACAATGCAGTGTCGAAGTGCAATAAAAAACTATTATTATGGTGTAAGTATTCTTATTTGTGTGAATATTTAATATCGGACTTAACCTAACCTAATCTAATCTTTCTACCTTTTTGCATCAACTGTCATCAGCTTTATTGGTCAAGAGTAGAGGCCTAGAAAACAGAGATGCGACATTGCGTCGGTTGGGTTAGGTAACCACCGCCATTTGAATTCAATATAAGTGCTCTTGACCAATAAGCTGATGACAGTTGATGCAAAAGGTAGAAAGATTAGATTAGGTTAGATTAAGTCCGATATTAAATATTCACACAAATAAGAACACCATAATAATAGTTTTTTATTGTACTTCGACACTGCATTGTCTAAATTTTTCTCTCTATATATATGTATGTACATACGTTATAAAACTATATCTATTAGATGCAATAGTGAATTAAAATGGCTCTCTGATCACGTGTTTTAGACAGCCAATCAAGCCATACCCTTCAATGACGCATCTCTGTTTTCTAGGTCTCTAGTCAAGAGCACTCAAAGACATAGAGAATGGACTGCGCGATCCCGTATCTATGTAGTATCAAAATATGTCGACGAAAATGAGAGAGGCCATCTCTATCTTTTTCCATTCTATGGTGTAATGGAAGAGAGAATGAGAGTGAGATGGCCGTCTTCCACGGTCCCTCTCTCTCATTTTTGTTGACCATTTTGACACACGGATCGCGCAGTCCATTCTCTATGTCTTTGAGAGCACTTATATTGAATTAAAATGGCGGTGGTTACCTAACCCAACCGACGCAATGTCGCATCTCTGTTTTCTAGGCCTCTATTGTAAGCGAGCGCTTCTTACCGACATCTGCTCCGCTATTTGAGACATTAGCCGTCTCATGGCGCCACGATCGCTGCATGCGCGGCACGTAGTTAACGTAGTTTAAATCTCTATAGTCGGCGCGAGTACGTCTGCGCGGCGTGACGTTCGAGTGCGGATTGGCTGTTTGAGTCATTCTAGTTTGGGCAGCATACGTCGATAATGTTGATATACGTGGAAGGGTGTATGTACGGGTTCGTCTTGAACGTCGAGGTAAATGTTGTATGTGAATCCGCGATAACATTAAAGTTATTTAGTCTGACCGAAAATACGTGTTGACTGTTGATCTTCCTAGTTGCCTGTCATATTCTATTCCCGTTGAGAATCCTGACACCTTGCTCGCGTGGAATACATCACGCGTAGCGAACATTATAAGAACGTTCTGAAAGATCTTCTTTACACTATCTTATATTGTGTGATTATTACTAATAAAATATTGTTAATTATTAAGTGTAGTGGTAATTATTGGATTAACAGTTCCACACTCTGAGGATCAAGGATACGAGCCCGATGACTATAACCTTCTTCGTTGGATGGAAGTGGCGACCGACATAAGCAGCAAAATAGTAAAGTCTGCAAATTAATAAACGGTAATTAATTACAGTAATTTCAATAAAAGGCCAGTCACAGTATAAAGAAGTCGAACGTCTTCGGTGACAATTAAATAGACTCTGATACGGTTAAAATATTCTCAAATCCATACAAGGGCCTGATCTCGCTTACAGCCTCACGGCTAGTTGTTAGCCGAGATTTCGCAAGATCTCATTATTTCCATGGCCGAGGGAATAATCGAAGGTCGTTGATGGCGACTGTGACAGGAGCACGCGTTGAATTAAAGATTAAAGTCATAAATCGCGGATAATGATCGTGACACGAACTCGCGTTATAAAGTCTAAAAATACAATTGATTGATTAAATTCTCGATACGCGGATTGCCATTGTGACAGATACACGCGTAATTAATTCAAATATAAAGAGAAACACGCGTATTTCATGTATTATCCATTGAATTCGTTGAACAAAGAAATCGACCGTTTACGAACGGCGAAGTGACATATTTTGACCATAAAAAGCATTAAATTGCAAATAATTCTTGATAATCACGGACTAGAGACCGTGTATTATGCATGTGCATGTATTGATTGTGAAAAAAACAGTCGTAATAAGTCTCAAAAGTGCTTATTTTGTGTGCATGCAGAAGTTTCAACGATTTTCAGCGTTATCGGACAGAGAGGTTCGATGCTAGACAAGGAAGGATAGATCGAACGCGAGCGCGCGTACCGATAAAATAGGTCACAGACAGCGTGGTATGGTAACTTAGTACGGAAACCAATCCGGAATTAATCAATAACAGGCCGAATACGCAAATAAGGGGGAATTAAGCGCGCGAGCATGAAAATAAGCGCAAAAATGACAGACACATAACCGAACGATAAATACATGATAATTAACCGGATTTTTGGGAATTTCAGGCAGGAGTGATTAACGATTATTACTTAGCTAACGATTATTTTGTACAGGTAGGATTGCCTAAAGAAATATCAACTGATAACGGAGGTCAATTTTGGACTAATAGATGGAGAAATTTCGCGGAAGAAAATGAATTTATAATAAGAAAAACTACGTCATATAATCCGCAGAGTAACCCAGTAGTGAGGGTAATGCGTGAGTTAGGCAGGATAATAAGGACATACGCGAGTGATCAATACATAAAATGGGATCAAATCACTTTCAGAGTGGAATCAATAATAAACGCGACAGCACATTCGTCCACAGGTTTCGCATCAGATGAATTTCATTTAGATAGGCCAATAGATTTTGAGATAGATCCTGTGTTGCATCCCGAGGAATACGATAGTTTACCTAGAAATGAAAAAATTGATATTGCGAGAGAAAACTTAGTTAAAGTCGCAAATAAACGAAAAAGACATTTTGATCAGACAAATACAGTTAAAGCTTATAGAATAGGAGATTATATATGGAAAAAGATCCATCGTAGATCTGACGCGAGTCGAAGGACTACGCGAAAAATACATTTGACATATGAAGGGCCATATTGGGTAGAAGAGATTATAAGACCCAACGCATATTTATTAGAAGACAATATGTATAACAGTCGTCAGTTAAAGCCACACAGACAATCGAAATTTAAGCATGAACGTCGAGAAGAAAATATTCGACAATTAAATGTATTGCAAGTTGAAGCAAGCGATAATAACTCAGATGATGAATATACTGAGGAAATACAACAAAAATTAAAAATTTTTAGTGACAGATTAAAAAGATTACAAGAATTAGCTAAGATTAAAGCGAACAAGAAAAGCTGTAAAAATGACGGACAAATTAATAATAGTAAAAGTCAGAGAATAATTACGAATAGGTTCGATTGGAATAATGATAAAAGTTGTTTTGAAAGAAACGATAGTCGGGTTAGGCGTGGAGAAGACTTACCTAGTTTATCCGGAGGTCTAGAATGGCGAGGAGAAGCGTCCACAGCAAATCCTAAAAATCCGCTACCAATCCTTAATCCTGATTCTGATGCAAACCTGAAAAAAGAAAGGAAAATTCATAAAGATTATATTAAAAGATGTAAAGTAGAATTTAAAGAAAGAATGTTAAAAGGTATTTGTAATAATTATATTCAGAAATGTAAACTCGAATGTAGAGAACGAGTTTTAACTAGAGTCAAAAGGCTTAACAAAAAGGTTACATTTAAATTAGATAATAATAATCCAGTGATGTTGGTTCCTACGCGAATTAATGCTAAGATAAATGTTTTAGATGATAAACAGCGCAACGAAATAGAAAGAGTAGATCGAACAAGCGTTACAACTCTTCCAAAAATGTCTGATAAGGAAGCTAGATCGAGCGAAAGCTCTATAATAACTATGAAGGAGGAAGAGGAAATGTTGAAGGAGTATATTAGAGAAAAAATTAGAAAGCGTAAAGCGATAGGGGCGCGAGCGATGCGTATCCGACTGTTACGTGAATTTATCGAAAATATGAGTCCCGTAAACTCTGATGAAGAGGACGAGGATGAAGATTCTATGAAAAAGGCTGAAGAAAATATGAACAACACCTTCAGCGAGTATTCTTCCCAGAGGGATAAACACCGAGGATCAATCATTAAGGAAACCTTGGTGGATAACCATAACGAATCTATTAGCGAGGTAACCGCATCCGTTCATATCCGGGATTTGAAGCAGTATGATAACCCGGAGAACCGTCCGTCGTATCGATTAATATTTGATATTACCAACAATGAGGTACAAAGGTACTTCCAAATAATGACGCCGCAGGAAGCGGACATTATGAAAGCTTTGTGTCAAACTGATTCCAAAATATTAGGGGATATTGCAAGTATCCTTAGCAGAATAGTGGAAAAACCACAGGTCGAGCCGAAATCTACAAATACCTCAACACAACCACAGGAGGCAGCAACGACTTGTTTCACACCCAAGGGTTCGAGTACTCAGACAGCCATCCCGAAAGTGATTCTAACTCCCACTCAAGTGCCATCGTCGGCGAAGGACCAACTTTGTGGGAAACTGGAGGCTATGAAAGCCTTAGCGAACAAAACCTCACCGCCCAAGGACAGGCCAATGTACGACTTGGTGTCGTCATCCGAGGGTTTCGCTATAAATGACCGTGACGAAACTTATACGCCAATGGCAAAGAAGGAGAAAATCAAATTACCCAACCCAAAGGAAAACAAAAAACCAATAGGAAGACCGAAGAAAGTCAAACAACCTAATCAGTACACAAAGAGAAAGGACAGGGATTTAAATGAACAGGAGCCAAGGGTGTTGTCAGTACAAACAATAACAAAATCAAAAGACGCATCGGTAAGTGCTCACATTTTACCCTCGCTAAAATGTTCACAGGCGAGGAGTTTGCAACCGTCTTCGAAAAATTCGAAGTTTGGTAGCGATATGTCTCTTGATTGTAAGAGCGTATATTTAATTAATAATATGATACAGACGGTTGGAAGTAAGCGGATGTCACCAGAGGTTCCAACGATGGATGTGGTGACGCACAAGTCCGATCCAGTCGCAGTGGAAGAGGTGTATCAGCAGCATGCCTAAGAAGAGCCTTCCAATCCCGTAAAATCGGAAATAGAAACATAAAATAGGTTAAGAAATGTACAAATTAGAAATAAGTTATATTTAAGTTTTTTTATCTCTGAGTATTATTTGATTTATGATGTTATGATGAGAATATATTAAGTAATAGCTCTTAGATCTAAAATGTGATAAATTAAATTTAGAGAATTTTTATGTTGTACCAATAGCTACCCACATAGTAATATTTTATTGTATTGACACTCTACGAAGGAACATTTTATATAAGCTCAAATGAACAGTTTTGAAAAGATTAAAAATTTATTTTGAGAGAAACATATTTATTATTTCCTAGCATTGACATACAGATAGATATTGCATGTGCGGGCAGAACACCGTTTGAGCTCGCGATACTTAAATTTTTTTCGATGTACCTACTCGATACACCTAAATTAGAAGTAAATATTAATTTTAAGTTTTTTAATAGTTTATTTATAATTAAGAGCGCTAATTTGATATACGGACACAAATAGAAATCGCGTTCGGACAATTTTCAGCTTAGGAGAGCTCAATTAATATTTAGTTAAAGTTTGCTTAATGATGTCAATAGTTTATTTAGGATGCGGGAACACGAAGTAAATATTTATAAAAAGGCGCGTCTTTCCTCGAGCTAAATTCTTCTCGGTTTGAGCTAAGTTCAGTTTCGTCAAAAGTTTTGATAATTTATTTAATAGGCTCTAGATATGTAGACGAACTTTAGGAGTTCGCCTGACAAATTGCAAGATGATAGTAGCTCGCGTTGACGAGTTAAAAGTAAGTTCCGTTTTTCTTATTAAAAAACCAGGATCACTGGAGATAGGTGAGAAACCATATATATATCCACCTGTCGTAAAATTAAGAAATATCCGTGTGAAAAAAATGTTAATTTTAGGATAGGATGAAACATGAGTGAAATTACAATAAAAAGCATTAAAAGTTGTAAAAATACGATGAAAAATAGTTTCCGGCAAAAAAGTAGTATATTCAGGCATGTTCTATATAAAAGGCTCACGTTTCACTTAAAACGCTAATTTAATTATTAATTCCTAGTAATCCTAGTTATATTTTATATCCAGGGCATACTTTGTGTAATTTTATAACTAAAATAAGAAAAATCCGTCATTAGAAGGCATATTTCTATTAAAAATAATAATTCGGTCTTAAAGAGCCATTAAATAGCAATAATTGGTAAAAGTTAGTAAAAAGTAGTAATTAATTGAAATAATTCATTTCCCTTCTAAAGGAGCCTACAGACCAGAACGGCGCAGCGGTGAAGCGGCAAGCGATAGCCAATGAGAGCCATGCTTTTGCGTAAAAAAGGCAGTCTGGCTGATTTCGAAAAACGCGGCGCAAATTTGTGCTACTTTGATTTTGAAATATCGTACGGAACAACGGTTTTAAGTTATACCGGGTGTAAAAATAAATCGTGCGTAGATTTTTTAAAGTGATATTATAAAGTCGGCTCTGCGGACGCGCAAAACACGTATATAGACTATCTTATATTGTGTGATTGTTAGTAATAAAATATTGTTAATTATTAAGTGTGGTGGTGAAATTATTATCCCAGATTATTGGATTAGCAGTTTCACACTCTGTGGGTCAAGGATACGAGCCCGATGTCTACAACCTTCTTCGTTGGACGGGTAAACGAAGTGGCGACCGACATAAGCAGCAAAGTAATAAGTTTGCAATTTAATAAACGGTAATTAATTACAGTAATTCAATAAAAGGCCGGTTACACCTGAAGCAGTACACGTGACGTCATTGATCCGACCCGGATCGGGTTCAAACCCGCTCTTTTTAAAAACGCTATATGAATTGGTAAACTCGACTTGACGCGACCTTTAGATATTTCTTAATACTATGAATACGGGCCCTTATTCTCTGTTCCCTATTCCTTTTATTCTTCGCATCCTTAAAGCCCGTGTCACACTACGGACTGTGGACGCGGATCGGATTGAGATTGCGGATCGCTTATCGATATTCAGCCAATCAAAATAAAGCAGCTTTATCTTGATTGGCTGAATTCCGATGCCCGATCCGCAATCCGATCCGCGTCCACAATCCGTAGTGTGACACGGGCTTTACATTATCATTCCATAGGGTTTGTACATACAAAACATGCTCTACGATAATGTATGGAATAAATAAATAAATAATATTGTTATTACTTGGGTTTGATTAATAATAATAATATGTAACAATAATAAATAATAATTTCGTACTATTTATCTGTTTGTACCTTAATCAAATCTAATTGTAAAAGTGAGATCTCGATTGATAAAATGCCCGATTTTATCACATAGCACAATAAATGTGTTGAGGATTTTACTCATTTAACTCATTTTGTTTATTTTTATTAAACATAGGTCAACTCGATGCTACAAATGCTTCGAAGCGTTTCTTGATTAGTCAATTTGTAAAATTCTTTCGTCTGATTGGTCAATAAAACGCTTTAAAGCATTTGTAGCGAGATTTTTTGACCGCACCCATACCTAAGAATATTTTGTCGTACGATGATGCTTGTTGTATATATCTAGAAAACAAGCTATCTTATTGAATATCGTATCGTCGTTCGTTGGAGTGTTGCTGATTCAGGGTGCAAACCCATGCAGCGGAATAGCGTAACGCGGAATGAGAGTAGAACCAATCACGAGATTCTCTAGAAACACGGAATGCTCGTTATTGGTTCCGCTCTCGTTCCGCGTTACGCTATTCCGCTGCATGTGTTTGCACCCTCACACTGCATCCGATTTTCATCGTACGACGACTCTGGAACCAATCAGGAAACAAATTTTTGCTTCGTATCGATGATACGATGTTTCTGATTGGATGCAAAGTCATCGTACGACGAAAATCGGATGCAGTGTGAATCCAGCATGTGAATCCAAATTTGAATATCGGACTACAAGTTCCACCCTCTCTACTCTCTGTTGACAGTGCTGACACCTGACTCAAATCCTTCAATTTTCCTAAGTTGGCTATGCTGGTGTATGCTGGTGTAATCTACGAGCCTACGGCTTACGACCGTCGTAAACATGGCTACTTCCTTAATCAGAACTTGTACAAAATTTAGGTGATTATTTTTTTTTCTGAAGATATTGTCACAAATGATCAAAATCGCATCTTCAAGATTTACTACATAGTATGTTTATTTCGTTATGATAGTGTTGTGAGAAATTAAAATATCCTTCCAAAAGAGAAATATAACCTTCAACATTGTACAGTGTTTTATTAATTTTCTTTACTCTTAAAAAATGTTAAATCGTGTTAAAACCGTATTAAATATTAATAACTTGCTCAAATATATATTATGATTTAATAGAGAGTATATTTTCTATAATAATTTTATATTACAATTTGCAGTTTACTGAGGCAGCCACTTTGTGATATTATCAAAGGCGATAATGTAAGAAGATACAACTTTCATAGTTTGTTCTTCACATGCAAGCAATGCCAGCATTACCATACAACACCACAATGTTTTAAAAAGTCAAAGACGAAGAAGGTATTAATTCTAAATTTATTGAATATATATCCAAAGATATATGTGACATACAGATATGTGAGCATTTAATTTTTAGATAATATCAACATTTAAAATCATTTATTAACAGCTGAATGTTTTCACCCAAATCAAACTGAAAAAACATTTACCAGTCGTGAATATATGGCATCAAATGACTGTATTAGAATTGGCAATATCTGCAGGAAGGGATATAAATGATGTCAAGGATGCAATTTCTTTCTCTGATTTATCTGGACGTTACGATAAAGATACTATTGTAGAGGATTCAAATATATTGTATAATGCTGTGCGAAAACTTGGGGCAAAGTTTAAAGTGATACCTAGACCAGATAGCAAAATAGAAAAGAATACAAATGACTGCAATGTTGTTAAAAGGTACTAATAATTGAGCTACTTATATAATATCTATTTCTATTTTAATGTAGATTAATTTTGATCTCAGTTTAATTTCAATTCTAGCTTCTAATTCTAAATATTAAAAATATGAAAAAAAAAGTCGAATAGGAAATTGAATTAAAGTTAATTTGCATTGATAGAAGCAGGCATTAGTCTATATGTATATATATATATATATAATTTCACAATGGTTAACGAGATATTAATTTTTAAAGATAGCTGAATATTGTTCTTTAATAATTTTTTTTTCAAATGCTATCAACTTTACAGAAAAACTGCAAGAGACAAAAATTGTGTCTTTTTCTCATAGAACTCTAAAAATTTTGAAAAAATTTTTTGTTAACTTTTTAGTACTGCATTTTGTTATTGGCAACTGTTTTTACCAACATAAGAGAGAGAACAGAAATACAGTATTTAAAAATTCTGGAAAAATTCTGAAAAAATTTTCAGAACTTTACGAGAAGAAAATAATCAATTTTCATCTCTCGTTATTTTTCTATACAGTTGATAGTATTTGAGAAAAAAATTATTGAAGAGCAATATTCGGCTATCTTTAAAAATTAATATCTTGTTAACCATTGCAAAATTTACAAAACGATATAGGACTTTTCGACTCAGTTTAGTCCACTCTATCTACATAAAAGCGATTGGAAGAAACTCTCGGGACACCCTGTATATAGAATAAGATCGATACATTGTATTGATTATATTTTGTTTATTTACCCTAGGCCTCCACCGGACGAATCTGTACTAATAAAACGTCGTCCAATAGTAACAATTATGGGCCATGTCGATCATGGCAAAACTACATTGCTAGATACATTACGTAACACATCAGTTGTAAAAACAGAGTTTGGTGGTATCACTCAACATATTGGGGCTTTCAATGGTAAATAATATCTTATCATATTCATCATCATATATATTGTATTAACAAGTTTTCTCTAATATCCCAATTAATAGTAACGTTGGAAACGGGAGAAACAATTACATTTTTGGATACTCCTGGTCATGCGGCTTTTAATATTATGCGAATGAGAGGCGCACAAATAACCGATATTGTAGTACTGGTGGTTGCAGCAGATGACGGTGTGATGGAACAAACTATAGAAAGTATAAATATGGCAAAAGCAGCAAATGTTCCGATTATCGTGGCTATCAACAAAATCGATAAACCAGAAGCTGATATTGTATGTATTTTAACATTCATTTTAATGATTAATATAATCATTAATAGTAGAGCAACATAATTTATAAAGCTGATATTGTATGTATTTTAGGTAAGAACGCAAAACATGCTTGCGCAACAGGGGATTCAAGTGGAGGCAATGGGCGGGGAGATTCAGAGCGTTAATATATCAGCTTTACATGGAACTAATTTAGATACCTTGATAGAGACTATAGCATTACAAGCCGAACTCGTGGGATTAAAGGGTGATCCAACGGGATTGGTCGAAGCTGTCGTAATTGAATGTTTAACTGATCGTTACCGTGGCAAATTAGCGACAGCTTTAATTCAACGTGGCACTTTGAGGAAAGGTGCATATCTTGGTAAGAGCAAAATATTTTGTCTCAAATATGAAAGACAAAAATAAAGATAGAAAAACTATTTCTTCAAAAAAATAACTAATTTATATTATAAATAACTATTCGTAAAACGAGTCCTTGAAAAATTTTACATAAAATCTTTTTTTCTCTTCTTCCTAATATATTTTAAAACAATTTAATAATTTTGAAATATTAATCTAATAAAGTTTTTGTTTGACAATAGTGAGCGGATTAACGTGGGCTAAAGTAAGAGCTATGTTTGATCATTCCGGAAATCCAGTTACGGAAGCCAAATTATCCGATGCGGTGCAGATTATCGGATGGAAAGATTTACCTACTGCTGGAGATGAAATATTAGAAGTTGAGAATGAGAAGAAAGTACGCATGGTAGTGCGATACAGAGAAGCAGAAAAAGCTACACAGGTGGCGCAAGAACATGGAGTTGCAGCGGACAAAAAACATGAAGAATATCTGAAAGTAAGATTTTTTTACAATATATAAAATATAGTAAAGATATGCTATTGTGTGACCTTGTTTATTTGTATGTGTTTAGCCTATCTCATTTTATTATTCGATAATTATAGGAATATAAGGAACATTTGACAAAGAGAAGAGCACTTGGCAGATACACGAAACTATCAATACCTATTAAAAATGAAAAATCCGATGATAAACCTAAACTTAACGTTGTTATAAAAGGTGATGTCGCTGGCTCTGTAGAAGCTATATTAGACGTTTTTAATACTTATGGAAGTGACGACATGTGTCAGTTAAGTGTCGTCCATTATGGCGTTGGACCTGTTTCAGAAACAGATTTACAAATGGCAGATATGTTTAACGGTAAGATTATACATGTCATATACTCATGATATTGATTAATATTATCCTCTATAAATCTCAATATCATGAAATATTTATAGCTATCATATATCCTTTTAACATTGGCGTGACGAAAACCTTACAACAAGAAGCTAGTGAAAAAAATATATCGATCCGTCCATACAATGTGATATACAAGCTCATTGACGATGTTAAAAAGGAGATAAATACGAGACTTCCACCAATTGACGCCGAAGAAATGATAGGTATGAGAAAACATGAGTCACAATAATAATATGATATATGTTTATTTTGATCATTGATTTCCTTACAGGTGAAGCAAATGTATTGCAAGAGTTTGAAGTCACAGATAAAAAAAAGAAAGTAAAAGTTGCCGGTTGCCGGTGCACCAAAGGCAGTCTCAAGAAAAATGCAATGTATCGATTGATGCGTGAACAGGAAGTTCTCTTTACCGGTAAAATTAATATCTAAAAGAGAGAAAATCCTGAAAGAGAAATAGAATGACATTTATTTTTATCTTTTTAGGAAAATTGGTGTCAATGAGACATATGAAAAATGAAACAGAAACGATCAAGACTGATGTAGAATGCGGTTTAAGTTTCGAAGATCCGACATTATCTTTCAAAGCTGGGGACACTTTAATTTGTTATCAAACGTATCCCAAACCACAAGAAACTGATTGGGATCCTGGATTCTAAACAATTTTAAAGATTGCAAGATTAAATGAAGCAAAACAATATATCTTCTTCACTCGAGTTAGTTATTAGGTACAGGAATGATGGAAATATTTCCAAATTAAGTACAAATTTATTTATTCATCCTAAGAATCGCAATCTTCTTTTACATTCGTTTTACATCTTTCTTTGACATTCAGTTTCATAATTTCGCTTCGTGAGGGTATCTGACTCTTGAACGTAAATCGTGAAATTAAGACAGCTAAGCTATGCAAGACTGCGTATCGGAAATATCACTCAGGTTTTCCCGAGTATCATCTTATTCTTGTTGTTCATTCAATGATGATAAACAAGGATAAGATGATACACGGGGATACTTGAGTGATATTTCCGAACGAAGCCCAAGGGGTTGCTGAAGCCGCCTGTATTACTGATAAAATTAACATTTTTTACGTTTTCGTTCCTGTCTAATTTCTTTGTAGTAATTTCACAGAATAAAAATTTCTTCTCTCCACGATTAAAATATTCAGCTAATGTACCTGCACCTGGTATATTTTGTATACAAAGCTGGAAGAAGTATGAAATCATAGATTTCTTTATTTATTTAACCTTAGTATGACGACCAACGCTGAAGATAAAAATAGGTAAAGAAATCTGTAATTTCATATTTTTTCCAGCTTTGGACACAAAATATACCAGGGGCAGGTGTACATTAGCTGAATATTTTAATCGTGGAGAAGGAATTTTTATTTTGTGAAACTACTACGAAGAAATTAGACAGAAACGAAAACGTAAAAAAAACGCTAATTTTATCGATAATATAGGCGGCTCCAGTATTCCCTTAATTGTCAGAATTAAAAGTTATCGACGATCTTATTCTTTGTGTGTTCACCTTAAATGGAATGAATATTATTATGCGTAATACTTTTTAAGATATTTTCTTAATAAATAGTATATATATCGAGCAAGATATGTTGGTCTTAAAACGTAGCTTATGGTAATCTTAATTTCACTGCCCGTAAAATCGACCTTTTCCGAATTTCCGCGAAATTTTATTTTTGCTCCAACTCGACGAGCGCACTAAAATTTATAGTTTTGGATTCATTAGGTCACCCTGATAGAATACTCAGGATCACATGCAGCATATTAAGACGCGTAAGTCTCGCGAAAACGACGTTGAAGATGTTGATACGCTGTGAGGACGCTACGCTTCTTTTTCTGAAGGCGACAAAGAGTTGTTTCCTGGTTGGCTACAGTGATCTTTGTATCTAACGGCTCGATAGGAATATTATCATCTGGATGTACAAAGAAAGCGATGGAATGACGGCCACGACCGCAATGTTCCGGCATAACAACACGATGTCTGAGTGCTGGAAGCTGCCCGTTGGTCCAATGTGCCAATAACTCGCCAGTGTTCACTAATATGGCGCCTGGGAGGTGACCTACTCTAGCCCATCTTTCCCCAATTTGAATTTCAAGGCCACCCTCGCAGTCCTGAAAATATTTTATCGTTTTGCATAAATTATAGAATATAATTAAGAATAATTTGTAATTACATAGTAGTGATCTGTACATATAAATGTATACTGTACATAATACAATGTTACTTTTACATTGACTTGATATTCTTCAATCGCAATTTGCGATATACTGTATTTAAATCACTTCTACTTAATGTTTAATAATTCATTATCTTTTAAGTCTATGCCTAATACCTTGTCGACACTTCTAAATATCTTCATGTTTTATTTGATAGTGGTTAGAGCCGCTTATCGTGAAACAATTGCGCGCTGTATTCCGCGAATGAACGTGCCGAGATATCTCTGTTTCGATGAAATTGTAAAGATACGTAGAATTTATGATACGTTACGTGCAGAGCGTCGTGGAATGGATTTTTTAGAAAATTATTTACGATCTTATAGCTTCGTAGTGGACGACTATAACAAGCAGTAAATTTCAAGCGCGTAATGTAATACCGCAATCTGCATACCTGCGCCAACAAAGTGAAAGTGCCATAGTCGCAATGGGCGCCGCATCGGGTCAGTCCTTGTACCGGTGTACCGAGTGGCGGATAGTAGAGGAGACGCAGGGTGGATGCGTTTCCAGGGCCGAGTATGTGCGTGTGCTTCGACAACAGGAAATCGTGGGACTGTTCCAAACCCACGGACAGAGCCTACGGCAGACCGGGTTTTCAACATTTATTAGATTCTATATGGTGGCTAGATAACTCTCGTTGAAGTTACTGGGATTTATATTCAAAGATCAAACACAACATGGTTTCTCACAGAAAACTCTTACCGCGAAAGAATAAATAAAATGATAACAATAGAGCAAAGATGTTCGCAGTAAGAGATAAAATAATAAACAGAATCCAAGAATTTAATTTATAAATGCAAACGAAACATAATTATTAAATAAAACAGATTATTACGGTAAGAAGCATGGTAGCTAGTTGCTTGAAATCACGTGTCAATTCATCCACTGCTGATCTATATCCAGGAACTTCATCTTCCGGCAGAATTCGTTCACATCCGGTTACATTAAAGGCATGGCGAAGTTCCATCTCGTCCGAAAATCTTTTCATAAGAGAATAAATTAAATTCAAATAAAATGTTGACAGAAACTCTTATGAGACTACCGCAATATACGTAAATTTCATAAATTTTAAAGAATATCCACATGCATTAAAAAACGATTATTTGACGTATAAATATTCATAAATTAAATATAATTTAGACAGCAAAGTATATGAACAAGACATATACATTTGTTACAACAATGATACAGCTAAAAAAACAGTTTTCCAGAAAATAAATTGAAATACTTTGAATCATAAAAATTTTGTATTGTTAATTTTGCAATGCAATTTTGAATAACTGATTATAGAAGTACGTTCATTTAAAGTATTTTTTTCTTTTCTTATGTTTTCATTTTTTTTTTCTGCAAGCAACTAAAAATCAACAGCAATTTTGAGTTATGTCGTTGTTGTAACAAATGAGCGCGATATAATTATGTAATAATCTACTACTTTATTGGAAACAAAAATATTTTCAGGATGTGGACCGAACAACAATACACGTTGCTTTTCGTATCATTATCAAGTTACCAATCGCGGTCGGTTGATAGAGGAGAACGTTCATTAAATCGAATTGCGGCAAATTCAATTACGGGAACAATTTGAGAACGCAATTTTCCTACTTACTTCTCCGTGCCTGGTTTAACGTAGCCGTGATTATCTGGCGAAACGCGCTCGTATTTTGCTCGCGTTTCATCAGGCAATTCGCAAAATGTGTCTAGAACTCTGTAAGCTGCCTTCATCTGCAAAATATGGAAAATAAATTTATAACGAAGTTCGCAAGATGGAGCGATATTGTGAGATTTTTCGCTATCAGGTGTGAACGAGTCACAATGGGGAAAAAGAAGAACGGATATTTACGCGACGATAAGATTTGCTTTCGGTGAAAATTATTGCCCGAATGGAGGACTCGCGTATCTCCTGTATCTCGACAACCATAAATCGCATCTCTTTCAAATTTCGCGTTACATTCTTTCAACATCTTTCAAGCAAAATGTGTAACGCGGAGGTACACAATGTACACATTGCGATGATATCTAGATCATTCTAGTAACGTTCGACAATAAGCAGTTTCGCAAATGGGGAATTGAACATTTTTACCGATAAGTTTCAGCTAATCAGGAAAGAATTTCAACAAAAGAAGAGGAAGACGCGGAGGAGTTAAATTTTCGTAAAAAGGACATTGGTATGAGTCACATTGCAGTTTGCGACATCGCTCTTACGTAGCGCAATATTGTACAAACAATCGCTCTTAAATAAATCAAGAAACAATACGCTGATTTACACAATTTTTCTTTTGAATTTTTTCCTCGAGATGAATTTAAAATCGCATTTTAAATTCGAATTTAATTATTCATATAATTAATGGGGTAATCGCGTCGAGCTTCGATTTCTTCTCGATTGCGCACTTTTATAGTTATTTTTCTGTACGATTTTTTTTTTTAAATACATGCGACATGTTAAGCGCAGTATAATTGGCTGCGTTCAGCAGAAAAAAGCAGCTTTGCAACTTTTTACGATTCTTTAATATGACTGGCTTATACATTCAAATCCAGCGAGGAACTAAGGGCAAGATCAATCGCGCATTAAAGAATTTTACAACAGTTGCTTGTTCTACCGAACGCAATCGTTGCGTAACTGCGTGAAGTGTCTTAACACGCGGGCATTCGTGCGATTCCCCGAATGACAAGTAATATCGGAAAGGTAATGTCACGAGGTATCGAAGACCGCGGGCAGTGATTCACGTGCTGACGCGTGGGTCATATGTCGTGCACGGTTCTCTTTCTCTGCCACGGGCAGTACCTCTACGGAAGACGATCGAGCACGATGTTTATTCTGATATTATCGGTGGCGTAATATCGCATGTGTCCGTTACGTAATGCCAGAAAAGATCGGGCGCGATGGAGGAAAAAACCCGAGAATTATCGCTCCTAATTCCGTCACGGAATAATCGTTGCATGTCGAACGCGCGCTTATCCACAGGCTATTTCAATAACTGAAAATGGAAACCAATACGTGCGTGGGAACAAAGTGCATCGTCGATTATGACGAGTGTGCGGCTTTGTTCGAGCATATTCCGCCGGCGTATTGTCCACTGCCGTTCGCTTCACGGTTTGTGATTCGCGAAATCTGTAGCAGTTCGTTAAAAATGATCGCGAAAACGCGCAACGATTTTTCTTCGCAAACTATTGCGTAATTTAATTGGGAGATCGTGGCAGTCCGATAAATTTTTTTTCCCGTAAATTATGTATTTCATTGTGAGAGCTGAACAGTCAGTAAGTTCTCTGTGTGGCTGAACTTTTGCAACTTAAAATGAGATAGGTATATATATATATATATTTGAAATTTAGCGAAAGCGAGAAAAGGAATGCTATATATAATGCAAGAATAAGAATTAAATCTTGAAAAATGATGAAGACGCACGAAGATTTTGATCTCACAAATTATACAATAATTCAATCGCGAGATCTGTGACAGTCGGTAAAAAGATTTAAAGACGCACGAAGGTTTTCTCTTTGCATAATTGTGTTGCATAAATTCAGTTGCGAGATCTGAGGCAATCAGTAAAAACGATCGAAGACACGTGGCGGTTTTTCACTCACAAACTTCGAAAAAATTTTTGGAGTACTACGACGCGATTATCGATGGGGCAAAAAAACAATAAATCAGCTACATCAAGATTACAAGCTGATAGTTAATCTTAAACATATCTTTCCTACGTATCTATAGAAGAAATATCAAGGAAGACGAGAGAGATTCGTGGGCTACTCTAACATATTCCGGAATTCTTAATTCCGACAATTTAACCGCTCGATAACACGGACAAATTAAAAATCAAGTAGTCCGTATTGAACAAAGACCACGTCTGTTGAATCAAATAACTTGTGTCAGGCCCATCCGGTGTATTTATCTTAAACGATAAGCGATTACTTGGCGTTTTAATGAACCTTCCAACTACCGCTCATTAGTGTTTGGGTTCGAATCTTACGAACCTCGTTCAGGCAATAAGTACTTTACAAAAGTATCCTTGAGAAAACGTCTTATCTTTCTGCGGTGATGTATTATAGCGGCACGTCTGCACGGGTTTTTCGGTGTTTTTTTTTTGCGCATGCACACGGCCGAGTAATATTCTTGCAGTCGCGTCGTTACTCATCGACGAACGTTCACGATCGCAAGTACGTATAAGCGTAGTGCGGATTATCGCGCGAAATATTGCAATGCGGCCGTCGCCGTATCACCCGCAGTTAAGTTTCCGATAGCGGGCATGAATGCCGACAAGGCCATCGCGCAATAAGTATTGTATTTATCGTGGGGCCCTTGAAAACGCAACTGCTACTTGACTTATTCGCTGTTCCAAGATATCGAATTCCGAGATAAGCGGCTCGATAACGAAAGAAAAAAACAATCTTTAATTTATGTAAATTATGAAACTCGGGCATTTCTCTGGAAAAGACTCTCCCTCGGTTGAGAAGATTATCAACTGCTATTGTTAACTAATTATAATACCAATAACCCGAACAACAACCTTATATACTATACGAATTAATATCAACAAAATAATTGTGTTCAGATATATTCTAGCATCAGCGAGAGCTTATTTCTAAATTAATTAACTATTTATTGCGCTAATTTATTTATCTTTGTGAATTACATAATTAAGATTGACAATACGATGCATTTTTAATTGTCAGGGATCGTCGATTCTTAATATATTTTTTCATAAAAATTCTCAATATATTTTCTCGAATGTCTGTACAAAATGATTCAATAATTAACGTCGTTTCTTGCCGGATACGAATTTTGAATTCGACATTTCAACATTGTAACAAGGTCATCATTCGACTCGTTTCAATTGGCGTTTCAAATTGTTTATAGTCACGACGGCAAGTTGGAACACAGCGCATGATATCGATCACATTCGCGAGCGGTGAAAATCGGCAAGACCAACCGCGACACCGGCGCCTGCGATCAATCAAAGGAAGCCTCGCAATCGCTAATCGTTTTGCAAACGCATCTCTTCCTCCTCTTTTTCTTATTATACCTTCCATTCTGGAATGCCGTGGTTGACGAGCAAGGCCAATCCTTTCTCGGACAGCGCCCTTAGCAGTTTCGAGGCCACCAGCTTGACGACTCCCTTCTGAGGGCACCTCTCCGTGCCTGAAATCATAAGAGAGCGCTTGAGCAAAGAGATGAATAAAATTGCTCGGAAAAGAACAACTACTGCGCTTATTCGTCGCTTGTTTGTTCTAAAACGATTATTATTCGCAACTTTACTCATTTCTGGGAATTCTTATTACGCGATTTAACCGCATCAATTTTGTGTTGAGCGCGAAATACAAATAACATATATTGAAGAATACAAAATAATTATATCGATTACTGAGGATTTTTTAGTAGATGACATTCAGGAATATACAGCTTCTACGAGAGAAAAATTACACAAAAGATCGAAAAATATTGTGTAACAAAATGGTGCATACGTTACAAGTTAAAATTATTTTTAACTGAAAAATTTTATTTAATTCTTGTTTGAAAATTTGTATGGATTTTTCGAACAATCCAATATATCATATGACACGTAACATTCAACTTAATACATATATTACATATTGCTGAATATTGGGCAAAGTATATTTTATATGGATAAATAAAATATCCGGAAATTCGTAAATCAAAATATATACTGTAACAAGAAAATTCTCGCAAAATTAAGTAAAAAAAAGTTATTTGTAAATTTTTATCTTAAGCAATAGTTTTTTAGAAATACGAATTTAAGTATGGCCAATTACAAACGTTTATCTGTGAGTATTAATAAGTGCTGAAGTGCGCACTTACCGGCGTTCACTACATTACCGCACATGCCACTTACGAACAGGTAATAGTCTAAATGTAGTCCATAATTGGCCATATCGCATCCTTATTATCTCAACAACTGCTACTTAAAATAGATAATAAATGACTTTTTTACATAATTTTTCAAAAATTTCCTTTGCATAGTATCTTGACTCTCAAATTTCCGAGCTTATATGTACAGAATATATTAATATATATATGTATATATACACCAATTTAATATCACAGTATATAAATGTTGAAAAGACTCAGATTTCGCAAAAGATTACGCTGAACGCTGATTATGGATTAAGGAAGCGTTGGGGTATTCAGTATTAAGTTTCTCGACTGTAGCTTCTAAGCGATATACGATACCGATGCCTACCGTACTGATGATCGATTAAGTCTTTCGCTCAATGAGCGTTTATTGACACTGCGACCGATATTGTGATAGCCAAGTAAAAACAAAACAAAAGACAGCAAGCACAGGTTCATCTCTTTATTGCTCTTCATCACAATCATATTTTATGAAATATTTTTCAATATCACATATTGCATTCATAACCTTTTATTTATCGTAACTTTTTTCTTTACCAAACAATAAAATAAAAATATTATTTAAAATATAAAAGAAATATGATTGACGCATTTCCCGCGCTTGCCGCAACTATTTACGACTGTCACGATGCATTTAAAGATATGTTATAAAAGATATCTGCTCCATTTAGATGTTCATAAGACAGAATAAGATAGCTGAAGTGAATAAATAATTTATACAAGGTTGCCACAAATTTTTTATCCTAAAATTCTCTGACATTTCCCTGATTTCCAGACAAAATTTTATGATTTTCCCTCACTTTCAATAATACATATTTTGAAATGCTTTTTGTATTTTCATCCGTTATTTTCATCCTGATTTGAAAATTTGTTAAATATTTTGTTGATCGAGCAATTTAACGTAACAGTGTAATTAAATTACTATTAATGTTGCTGACACTGCATTTTATTGTTAAGTTAGTAGTACTTTTTGTTTTTTCCTTTTGAACATGATTCTTTTCCTCCTCCTCTCTTTCTTTTTGCTGTTGTACTTAGAATATAAGGAACACAAATCAATGAATACAGTTTCTTTTTTATCAAAACTACGTCCTGTTTATTAAAATATTTATAAAATCTCAATCTGCTATTATAAAGATTAACATATTTGAAAGAAAAGTCACAAAAATATAAAATTAACATTTATTTTACTCAACTTGTTCATAAGTGCATAATATTTTCTTATATAAAACAAAAGAACAGACAACTTTAAAATTGCGATGTTCTTAATAAAGCATTTTAAACCTCTACAAGTTTACGTTAGCTTTTTAACATAAAAACCGAAATTTCAAATCCTTGAAGAAAACTTAAATACTGCAAGTTAACATAAAAAATTATATAAGCCTCTTAATCAAATGTTAATGATAGCAGTGACGTTATTTCTTCATCAAGAGCACTTAGTTCATTAGTTTTCTCTGTAAAAAATTTTGCCTTCTTAGTCTTCAATTCTGAAATTTTTTTAAAAAAAGATCTTTTTTTAGCAATCTTTGCATTTTCTTGTTCTTTCTCAGAGCGCTGCTTTTCTAATATGCTTTACCATGTATATATCTCTCGCATTTCGATAAGATAAAATCATCTTTTTATCTATTGTAAGTTTTTTTAGTGAGACCACCAGCAGCCTTAAGGCCATCGTAAACTTGTCTCTGAGATATATTAGAGACCTAGTTAATTGATTTTCAACAATACATTCCTTATTTATTGAAAATCCTCTTTCCACAAATGCTTGATTATAACTCAGAATAAGGACCTTTTTCACAAAAACATACAATTCTAGAAACTATCCTGACTCTGAAGCGAGTTTTCCCAGAAATGATCAATTCTTTGATTTTAACGACAGTGGCACCGTGATATAAATGAAACAGACACCAAGCTAGCTAAACAGATGTTTTAAATTTCTTTAGAGCTATTTTATTCTTCCAGAAAAGTTTGCTAAATCCCTGGCTTTTCCCTGACACCCTGATTTCCCTAACTTGTGGCTGTTATAAAATCGTGTGTGTCGAAATATAAAGTATGACTAATCTGACGTTTATTCGAATTAATGTCGATTCACTTATGCGTCAGTGAATACGTCGTGAAAGGTGACGTTAACGGTGTTCATCATTGACGTGCGTGATTTTGCGCCGAGTTAAGTAGTGAAAATCAAAAACGGTTAGCAGGCAAGCCTTGGAAGCCGACGCGAGGTCATGATTCTCGAGAAAGCCATCGTCCCCGAGTGTCGTAATGAGATCCGTCCATGAGAGATGAGAGAAGAAACAAACCGTAGATATACATATATATGCTCCGTATGCGTATCGCATTCGCGATTATTACATTTGCCCGGCTAGTGTGCACTCGCGCGATGAACTCTTATATATTCTTCATCATACATTAATAATTAAGTTTTATTCTCGATTATGCATTTATGGTAATGCTAAAAATAACGAATATAAATACATAATCGAGAGAGGATAAAACGTAATTATTAATGTATAATGAAGAATAAGAGAAATTTGGCGCATCGTGTTTTTAGCCTTAAAAAATTTGCATACAAATTTGTATACGTCAAATTTCCGAAATAATTCAATGTTTAATGTACAAAAATGACTTTTTTTACCCTATTTTTGTAAAACAGTTAACGTTAGCTTAAAAAAATACTAAGTTTAAATTAATAATTCAAAAGTTATAAATGTATTGTTCACTCCTCCTACACTAAGAAAAATATTGTTAACTTTACTAAATGCATTTAATTCGCAGTGATTTATCTATAGTTTAGGTATTTATATAGTTAAATTAAATATACGTGAGGCCCATGTCAATGTATTATTTGAATTAACAAATATTTGCTTGAGTCTGTGACCGCTGTATTTAATTGAATCAACTATTATAATACTTTTTTTTCTTAGTCTTTATAAAATGCATTTCTTTGTATTTCAATATCTTATTTTTTAACCATATAACTATGCTTCCACAGAGATATTCTTCTGCAGTAGAGACCTTGGCATTAATGCCGAGTTACAACGCATAGCATTCTACATATATAATTTTTTGAAGTGCCTATACCACATAATTTTCTTATACATAAACCCAGGCAGTAGCAACCTGACGTTATTTGTCGTCATTTTGACATTAAAATGTCATTACTATCTTGCTACTTTATTAGCTAAAAAAATATAAGAAATTAAATATAATATTAGCAAAAGACAAAAATACTATTTTACAGCTCGTGCCGTAATTGGCGTGCTGAAATTGACTTCGACAGTCATCATTAAGAAAAACCCTAATTCAAAATGCGATTGTATACTTTAATAAATTCTTCGACGTGCAGCTGACGGACATCAACAGAACATAGTACTCTTTCTACTTTGTTCGCTATTTTGACAGTGTCTCGACGCCACGATGATGACAAAGTCAGCAGGACTGCTTTCGTTTCACCGTCCTCGCAGCATACATCGGCCACGGGCACAATGCCAAATTCGCCTCGTGCAGAAGATTCAAAGAACCACTGCCGACAATAAGCCGTATTAATATCGCGAAATTATAAAAGGAACATTGGCTTTTAATAATAGATTCCGAATGTCTAATCTCAATTGAACCGTAATGGCTAGCTGGTGATGCCTAATTTAGACCGATCTGTGACGTCTACCATTTTTCTATCACGCTCAGAAAGAAATGTTTCGAAATGTCTGGACGTGATGAAATTTATCTCATCACGTGATAAAAATGTATACAATCGTATCACAGTAACAAGAAATGAGTATGTAAAAATGGTTTTTATCTATCGAACGTTTTTATCTATCAAAAAGTTTGATATAAGTAAACTACAATACTACTTTCTGTGATAATAAAATATCATTTATATCTCCCTGTGTTCAACGTTAACCTTGAAAAGTAAAATATTACTTGATAGTCTCTGAAGACGTAGAACAAAAATCACAAATGTTATGTCGATAATTATACGCTAATGATATATTATTCAATTTTTTGTAATAGTGTCACAATAAATTTGTTAAAAAAATTTGATTTACTTTCAAGTTACGTGTTGGCACACCGAGATGGTTAAAATTCAAAAATGTTTCTTTAAAGATGGGCTACAGATTAATAACACGGAAGATACGAGCACTACCTGATGTTTAACATAAAATACAATTTCCGTACAAATAAACTTTTCCCACAGTAATCGCATATTCTCCTGTATAGCAAATATAAAAGAGATATATGATGTTTAGTATACGTATGCAGGTACAACATAAAGA